GGGAGATAGATTGAGCACAGTAAAAATGTAGAGTCTTTTGTTTTTATTTTTATCCAAATCCATTCTTCACCAGGCAATTCGAGTGAGGAAATTCTGGAAAATGTAAGTGAGCTGTGAATGTATACTGCCGTGCCTCCTCCGTGTCTGTCTCTGTGTCTTGTAATGGGTGGATGAAAATTGTCAATAGTATAAAGGTTCGGGTTAATTGAGTCGTCCAATTTAGTTTCAGTGAGTGCGAGAATTGTGATTTTATTAACGTCGACAAAATTTGTTAGCTCTTGGACCTTGCCAGTGGCCGTTATACTGTTTATATTTACATGGGCTATCGTAATATTATTCGATAATTTCTTGTTATTTATTGGCCCAGGGTTTGATTCAATTCCTCCGATAATCAAAAGAATACGCATGTCTGGAGGATAATTAAATAGTTTCAATGATGCATGATTTGACACAGAATCGGGAGAGAATTGGGTAAGGTTGAAGCGGGTTTTGGGAAGCGTTGGGGGAAAGGAGAGGAGGGGAGAGGCGGCCTGAGCGTGTGCTAGAGGGCGGCGGGGCGTCCACCGCGGTCCGGACGAAAGAGAGGAGGAGCAAACGTGCAGAGATACACTATGCAATTGGGTCAGGGGATCAATGAAGCTGACGGAGAACAAAGTAGTATAACAACGTTTCAGAGAAAGAAAGGAAAAATAGGACCGGGATGAGGGATGTTCCGCAGTCGGACGGTGGCCCGGCGCAGGGACAAAAGTCACAGGTGGGGCGGGCCGAGCGCCCGGGTCGTTGGGCGGGCGGCCAATCGCGAAGCTCGCAAGTAGTTGGAATAGATATATGATAAACTAGTATGCAGATGCAGCCAAATCATAAATAAATATACGGGGAACAAAAATACAGCGGTCGAGGACTTAACGAACTCGTTATCAATCACGGACATCGAAATCATCAAACGGACACACTCGTTATCAATCAATGACTAAACCAATCCATCGACCTGTCATCGAAACCAGACACCTCGACACAAAATAAGAGGGAAAAACACACTCTTCAACCTACCATCTGAGTTAACTGAAATTAACTGGGTCAAACTGACCGAAAAACAGACACGAAGCGAGTTACTTGCCGCAGCACTCGGAATAACTTACTAACTACATACATATCATCCGGGTAAGTATATAGAAGCGCCCTGAGCGGGCGACCTGACGCTCAGTGAAAGCAGTGGACATCAACAGTCAAGTCCAAGTACCGCGGCACTACACAACATTCATTGTTTACTTTTTCTTTACTTTGTCCGCTCGGGTTTTGCGGGTTTTTCCGACCCGCTTCCCGTGCTTACAGCAGTGGACAACAGCCCAGCAGTGTGACGGAAGAATCTCCAACGGAGCGCGTCGGTAGATAGCGCGGTGACAGGATGCTGAAGCGGCGGCGCTGTGGTGAACCGGACACCGGTGGGCGTGTGTCACCGGTAAAAACTGGCCAGAATCGGGGCGACGACAGACGGACGGCGGCCTCGCGGCCGACGGGGAGGCCGTCAGACAACACCAGCTGCCGCCAGCTGATGTAGATTGATGAGATGGGGTCCCTAAGTGAATCCAAACGGCCCTGAGAGCCAGACCAGTAGGTGTTTGGGCTAATAAAACGATGACAACAATGTAGCCATCATAGCCACTGCTACGCGCATGCAGATAGACACATTGAGCTTTTATCTATCTGCATCGTTCTGGACGTTGATTGGTAATGCCGTTTATTGACACCTGCCGTTTACTGACACCTGCCGTTTATCATCTCATTAATTTCGGTGCGCCATAATTGGTATGACATGCCCAATAACTTTAACTTTTTAGTTATAAAGAGCGAATAAAAAAGAATGGCTGCAAGTACCTAAAACATCCCCCCAAAATGTTGCAAGGTACGTTGAGCCCACCAAACTCTAATTTTCCATGACAATTCTTGCAGTACATATTGCACGTCTAGGCCATGTGGAGCCGGCGCAACTTGCGACTTTTTTCAACCGTCGCGCTACAAGCTGTGTTTAATGACAACTCGTTGCCATGTTTATATCGCTCCGACAGATTGTTATGTCTGGAATGACTGCTGCTGCTGTGTTATGATTGCAATACCAAGCGACCATGCCTGTACCGTGACGCATGCACCGTTTGTGAAACAACGCCACCCGGCCCGTGACGCCAGCGTCTGTTTGAATAAAAACACCGTAAAGCACGACGGGACGACCGGAGAACATGGGAAGGGAATGCCGGCTGCAAAAACGATCGCATCGCTGGCATAAAAGGCCATTGTTTCGGACAAAATGGAGATCGAAGTCACGATGGCATTTCGTTTCAGCAGTGAACTGCGCTGGCTGGAAAAGTTAAAAATATAGTGCATGTGCATTTGGAGCTGGCTTCCTAATGTATTTTTTCATTATGTTTCTCCTCAAATAAAAAATTTCAATAACTACCAGAGTAAAATTTCCAGCAGTTATAGGTAAAAAGGTCCCGTCGCCAACCGATGCGGGCCTAGACCGTGAATGCTTCAGCTCTTTTCTAAGCATGGAGTATGGTCAGCCAGCTTAAAAATAGAAACAAAATATATTTCCTTCGAATGACTCAAGCAATCGTTACCCTATCTAGCTCCCGTAAAATTGTAGCGCAAGAACCTGGTACAGCAGGCTGAACCAGCCGGCACTGACGGGTGGTTCCGTTTGTTTTTGGTACGACTACTGTCTGAAACGCCGAGAGAATAGCGATAAAAGATAACGGTAAGAGGATGGCTCTCAGCTCTCTCATATATGTACACTGAGCGTTCAAAACTGTATTTGAAAAACAATCTCCTTTTGCAGCTGTTGCCGTTCTACTATAGCCTAAAATAACCACAGTAAATGGCCCAAGACAAAAATTATTCCGGAACTGGATATGAAATACCGATTTATTGATAGTGAATAAATAGCCAGGTAAGTACTTAAATTCGCCAGTTTCCTTCAATGGCTCAGTCACGTTCCCATCAGCGCTCTGATGAGCATTGAGCAATGACCCCCCCCCCCCTAATTCAGAGGCCTCTTATCCGACAGAGGGCAATGTTTACCGAGCCACGTCACCTCGTGCTCAGAGCGGCCGTGCCCTGCTGTTATAGCCAGCCCCTGAGCCAGCTCTGCTGCATGCACAGTGAACACCCTCGTCTCGCCCTCAAGCCCTGGTTAGGTCATCTCCCATGCAGATAATCGGGGGAATCATGTCGCTGGCCGAGTCAGAGCCAGAATTCGGTAAACACCTAAGTATGGTGCAAAAATCGCATGGGCAAGAGTCGAAAACAATAGATATTGAAATAGAGATACTGGTAGTGACATGATGGTTCACTCGGGACCAAACAAAGGCTTTCTACACTATAGTGTCACTTGGTAACTAAATAAAAACGGAAAACTGGTCTGTGTCTCAATCCCGCTGCCCGTATCGGTGTCGTGAGGCGTGAGTCGGTGAAAGTGAGGACCTCCGGCTTTGGAGATGCTCGGTCTCACGAGATACGGATCAGGGGACGGGCCGGGCACCTCACCGGATGTGGATTAGAGGTGGCCGTGACAGTACAGAGGGGCCAGGGGCGGATGGGCAGAGCGGCAGAGCTATACAGGTGCACGGCTCAACCGTCTGGCCAAAGTGGGCATATATAGCCAGCGATAGGAGAGTCCAGCGGACATAGAAGGGGATTAAAGAAATACATGTCACAGCTCAGTGGACAGAGTCATCTTGGCAACAGTATCGCATAACAAAGGGCCCAAAAATAAGGAGCCTAAAGCCGTTTTAAAACGTATTTCTGGTTTACAACTTGTGCCCTTAAAGGTAGTGTGCCAGCTTTCCTGGACCGTATGGAGTTAATGGCCCAGATAAGGAGAACCGGATTTTTAGAACTTATCCATACCTTCAAAACTCATGGAAACGTCTTAAATTCTTCAAATTTTGAGTACCCCAGTGCGAAATTCGCCCCGACGGGTTGTCGGTCGTACCCCAACCACATTTCACACCACTATGAACAATAAATGCACACACTGAAATCGCTATTACCGATATGCTCATCCAATCAAATTTCGATAAACCCGTTCATCATCAGCTCCTGCGGTTTCGAACACGCCTGTTAGGTGGTGCGGTAGACCACGCCCAAAGCCAGGGCCCCGGTAACGTGAGGTAGCCGAGTCAGGGCAGCGTGCGCTGACCCAAGCCGGAGCCGCGCGTCCTCCCGGTGTCATGTGATAGCCCGGGGCTGCCCGCGGGGATGCGGTAGACCGCGCCCAAAGCCGCGGCCCCGGCTTGGGTCAGCGCACGCTGCCCCGACTCGGCTACCTCACGTTACCGGGGCCCTGGCTTTAGGCGCGGCTTCTGCTCATACTTTGTGGTGCGGTGGTGGCGCGTCGGGCCGCGCTCTGACTTCGGCCAAGAAAAATGCGTCAGCTGATCATTGTCATTTCTGCCACTTTCATGTGGTGAGATGGGGTCATAACTTTAGAGACGGCTGTTTCATATCAATTATTTTACATAAAATAATATTTCAAACCATAAATTAATGTTCGACAGCCAAATTAAAGAAACAATACCAATACAGGCTTACAGTTTAAATTCGACATTGTGTTGTCTACGATTAGACAGCTGATAACTCATTCCGGTACGTCGCAACTCTATAATGACCTTTGCTTATTGTCACATGTGCGCCGCATTCGTGATTGTTGCCGACGCCTGTTTGCAGGTCAGTCCACTACTGTTGTTATACATATCGAAAAACCGATAAACTTTTAGGCGAAAAAAGCACTATTTTAGGCCCATTTTCGATTTTTTTGCGATATTACGTAAAAACAGAAGCTTCTTATCCTAGGAAAAATAAAATGGGAAATCATTCGAAGGTGGCACACTACCTTTAATCTCTCTCCACTCGGTCCCCACCCGTATACCCTGGTATATGGTAAGATCCCTTGCCCACCACATCCACCCGGCCCATGTGGGGTGGCTGATCCCCGATGAGCCCACCTTTGACGCAGGCGTTGGACTCTGCCTGGAAGCTGAAGCCGGGCGGGCAGCTGCAGACCGGCCGGTGGTTGCGCGTGCGACACACACCGTTCTTCAGTGAGTTGTTGCACGGATCGAGAATGGTGCACGGGTCGAAACACACTCCGCCCAGACAGAACCGGTCACTGGCACACTCGCCGTCACTGCGACACGTCTTCTCGTCTGAAACAGAGAAAAACGGTCAACGGCCAGCCGCCAGCGGTCAGAACCGGAGCGCTAAGGCTGAGGTCAGGTCATCGGAAACACTGACAAAAACATGAACGCCATGATGATGCAGCGACACGTATGAATCTCGGTGCCTGTAGCGTTACATCTTGCAGAAAACATAGGTGTATAACTGTAATAGATATATAGCATAGATGTATAACATTACCCAAGCAACAAGCACTTGCTAGAACATAACGTTATCCTGAATCCTGATTGCCGATAAATTGGTCCTCACACTAAGGCCTCTTCTCGACTTAAAACATTCGTTTCGCAGATTCCCATATCGCTGGTCTCTCTCTCTCTCTCTCTCTCTCTCTCTCTCTCTCTCTCTCTCTCTCTCTCTCTCTCTCTCTCTCTCTCTCTCTCTCTCTCTCTCCTCTCCCCATCTCTCTCTCTCTTTCTCTTCCTACTCGATTGCTTACATCACGGAGCTTACTTTCTTTGTTTCTCGGCACCCGTTTGCAAACCTCATCTAATGCTATCTGCAACTCAGATAGGCGAGAAACACGAGACTAATAAGCTCCTGACCACACCACCGCAGACTGATTGCGCCCGGTTTCGAATCTCTCTCCTGTATCGTGTTCACTTTATCTCAGTGATGTGTCGATTGTATGCGGGTCACGGCAACCGTTTTTCACCGTTTTTTAATCGATTGCAAAAATGGACTTTGAAAGACTTCAGGGGTTTGCACACTTTTGCTATTCATCCCGATCTACAAATGTTTCAAACTTAATATAAGCGCAACGCAAATTTATTCGATATCCATGGCATTCGAAATAATCGGAAGTGAGAAAGCGCAGCGAACTAACTGCCCACTCTCGTATTGTCACACACGAAACGACTGCATGTATGACGTTGCAAGAAGTGAAGTGCAGCATAAGGTCATCAAAAATACACGCTGCCGGCTCATGGAGAACAGTCCGGAACAGAAAATCAGTCGGGTCGTTACTCGTTACACACAGAGAGAATGTAGGAGCAATTCAGAGTTGACGTTTCTACCAGCCCTATAGGTAGACTCCCGCAACCGGCAACCTCCCTCCCGGCCAAGGAGTGGTGGGAGGAGCAAATGCATTCGTTTGACACCGCACTTCTTTAGGGCTAATGTCGCTGGTCGTACCAGCATCTGCGATGCTGGGCTCCGCATCGCGGGACCGCAGGTTGTTTGAGCAAGCACCTTTGAAAACGCAGCAAAAACGCCCGCCGCCAAACGAGAGGATGAGCCTTGCACGTGCAGACCGGAGTCGGTGTGCTATCTTGAAGCGACCCCTACACGTGCGCACGTGCAGCTGCACCCCAACCGTGGCACATGAAAATACATAGGCCCGGGCAGCGCTTATCGAACAGCACTGCGGATCCGAAGGTTGGGACTTTAATTGTGAAAAACCGACCGACCGCCGCAAAACGCAAAACCACAAAACGCGCAAAACGCACGCCCAACACGCCAACGCAAACTTCGCAAAAAAATCAAAGAAACAATCGTCCGCCCGCGGCAAAAAAAAAAACGCAAAAAACGCCGCAAAAATGCGCGTCCGCGCAAAACCGCAAAACGCACGCCCAAAACGCTAACGCAGACCTCGCAAAAAAACAATCGCCCGCCCGCCGAAAATCGCAGAAAAAAGCAAAAAAAAAAACGCCGCAAAAAAACGCCCGTCCGCCGCAAAACGCAAACATCGCCGCCGCCGCAAAAAAAACCGCGTCGCCCGCCGCCAACCGCGCAACGCCGCAAATAAACGGCCGCCCGCCGCAAACAGCAACACCGCAAATAACGGTCGGCCGCCGGCAACCGCAAAACGCCGCAAAAAACGGCCGGCCGCCGGCAACCGCAAATCGCCGCAAAAAACGGCCGGCCGCCGCCCGCCGCAAACCGCCGCAAGAAACGGCCGCCCGCAGCCAAACGCAAACACCGCAAAAACGCAAATACCGCCGCAAAAAAAAACGCCCGCATCGCACGCCCGCACGCCGCCAACCGCAAAACGCCGCAAAAAACGTCCGCCCGCCGCGAAACGAACACCACAAAAAACGCAAAATCGGCCGCCCGCCGACAAACGCAAACACCGAAAAAAACGCAAACACTGCCGCAAAAAACGCATGCCGTCCGTTAAACGTAAACACTGACGCATTAAGACAAATATGGCGCCTTGCGGCAAGTAAGGTGCATTCATATCTGCCGTTTAAGCAGCCATCCCTCAATCAAAGCGCATCCTAATCGTCCCATGTTCGATAAAGTTAGGCACATTCTGTGATTTGCGGCAAAAATGGCGCTTTGAGACAAACGTGGCGCACTGCGACAAACGTGGCGCATTCGTTCCTGTCGCTTAACAATTTTATCCACCCACCAAAATCTAGCCCAATTGGACTTAAACTGACAAAGTTATGTTCATTTGAATATTTCACGATAAAATATCTCCGCAACGGAGGTGCCCAAATTTGCACGTGTGCCACGTGACCGCCGGTGGTGTAAGCAGGACTTGTCCCCTCACTGATTGCACCATTTCAGTGTTCCTGGCTTGTGCTGTTTCCGTGCTATAAGGCCACAAATCGGCAAACACACGATAATCTGGGAGGTACGCGACTCAAACACGTGGCCACGTGGCACGTGCCGGACCTCTGATAGCTTCACCGTTCACGCCACGTGATGACCCATCGACGTGGCCATCAGCATGTAAAAGATGACCCCGGCCGGTGTCACCGTCTCTGAACAGTGGACGGCTAAGCTCGAAAAACGGGAAAATTTAGGGAAATTTCACCTTTCGAATATATAACTTCCCCATAATTTTAAATTTTTCATTTTACAAAAAATCCGAGATAGCAGTTTTTTAGACCCCTTCATTCTGTGCCTAAACCCGTTTTCAGATCGACCCTATCATAAAAACTGACGGCCTGACGGCTATTTCCCCCACTCCTTGCATTTCACAATGCTAGTATATTTAAGCACCAAAATTGACCCCGTGCCACGGCACGTGCAATAGCACGTGCGACACGTGACCACTAGTGCGACAAGCTGGACTCATCTGCTCACCGGCTGCACTGATTTGGTGTCGCTAGTTGAAGTCGTTTCCACGCCAGAGGACCCCGAGTAGGCCAATGTCGGATTTTCCCGGAGGTTACCCCATCAAACACGTTTGCACGTGGCACGTGCTTTTCAATCGCCCCATATCTGACCCATACCATGTGGTAGCCGACACCCTGGGGCACAACATATTGGAACATTTTCAAAATCTAACGTGGAAATTTTTGACAAAATCGATTTGAAAATAATTTTTCGAAATCGCCATAGGCTCAACATGGGGTAACTGTTCGTGACGATTACCCGAAATTTTGTCAATTATATTTTAAATAATTACCAACGTCAGTTGGGGTGCCAGCCCGAGATCCGACCCTAAAAATATCAGCAAATATAATTGACGAAATTTTTCGCAAATCGAATTTTTAATTTTACCCCATGTTAACCCTATGGGAAAATGCACGTGCCGATTACCCCAAAACAACGAATTCTGACATCTTAACGAAGGATAACAACATGTTCTATGGTCGTTTCTCAACAGGTCCTGAAAGTTTAAACAAAATCGTATCATATAATTTTGTGCAATGAACGAAAGAAAATGTCTCTGCAAAAACGTCCATTGACTTAGCATGGGGAGCAAAAAAACTTCAACTTCAAACTCGTGCAACTCAAGTTAACGAATTCTGACGGGTATACGGCGCACACGGACGTGTACCTGAACGTGTCGGTCATAAAATGGTGTGCAGCAAACCATACCTTGATCGGCGATTTTTTCCGCTATTCGCGATCGCGCAAAAAGTGTCCAAAACCCCATTGACTTAACATGGGCGAAAATTGAAACGCACGTGCCACGTGCCACGAGGTTTTAAGCGAGTAGCGACCGGTGCCAACAGGTAGATCGCCTGCGGGAGCCCATACCCTGAAATTTTTACGAAAATCGAGCCACAAGTTTAGGCCCCTACCAAGTTGCCCCAATTCGCGGCCAGACATGCAAAACATAGCCCGGAGAAGGACCGCTCCGGTTGTTTTTCAATAGAAAAACACAATTCTAACGAATAGTGTTTGTCAATGAAGAAACAACCTGCGGTTACCAGCATCTGCGATGCTGGGCTCCGCATCGCGGGACCGCAGGTTGTTTGAGCAAGCACCTCTGTAACGCCGCTAAAGGTGTGCCGAATTTGAATGCAATCAGCCCAGCCGTTTCTGAGATCTGAAAGCCTCACCCTGCACGTGCGCACGTGCAAGCTGGGTCCCAAATGACTTGTGGACGGCACCCTAGTTGCCGGTCTCTAGCGGTGTACCGAATTTAAGCTCAATCGGCCCAGCCGTTTTCAAGATCTGGAAGCGACCCATACACGTGCGCACGTGCAGTTGCACCCCAACCGAGACACATGAGTATACATACTAACTGACTTGTGCACAGCACCCTACTAACCGGTCTCTAAAGGTGTGCCGAATTTGAATGCAATCGGCCCAGCCGTTCCTGAGATCTGGAAGCGTCACCCTGCACGTGCGCACGTGCAACCTGGGGCCCAGCAGACCTGTGCAAGACACCCTACTACGCGATCTCTAGCGGTGTGCCAAATCTGAGCACAAATGGCCCGGCCGTTCTCGAGATCTGGAAGCGTCACCCTGCACGTGCGCACGTGCAGTTGCACCCCAATCGTGGCACATGGAAATACATACTAAATGACTGCAACCTACTGATCGGTATCAAGCGTTATGCCAAATTTGAACACAATCGGTCCAGCCGTTCTCGAGATCTGGAAGCGTCACCCTGCACGTGCGCACGTGCAGTTGCACCCCTACCAAGACACATGGAAATGCATCGCCTGGAAAGTGTCTACCTCCATGCCAAGTTTTAGCGCAATCGGCCCAGTAATTACCGCGAGCTATTGCGCTTATTACAAAACAGGCACCTCTTGGCTTTGCACGTGGAACGTGCGTTAGGGGTCACCCATATGCATCGAGAGTAGCACACTATGTGAAAGAAGGGAAAAAGCTACCCCACACCATAAACCGCACGTGTATCAGCCCAGTGGTTGCCGAGATATAAGTCGTACAAAAACGTCCCCACGGCGGCCGGCCGCTATTTAGCAGTAAAATCGTGTCGCATCCTTCTATGGGAGGTATCCCCGTCACCTGTTCGTATACTGTCTGAGCAAAGGCCATACGTTACGGTCCAAACTCCATAGGTGAGGCGGACATACGAATTTACGAGAGTTTAGCGACGAAATGATTCACTTAATTGTTAAGTAATGGGTACCATTAGGTAGACCATAAATTTTATCTAGCATCTCACCGTAGATGCAGTAAAAAGTGCTTTACTTTTCAATGTATATAAAGACTTGCTCAGCTCAATCAGTTCACTCTGTATTGGCTCAAGCCGTATCATGCGAACGCAATACAAACTAGAGCACCGACAGCGCAGCGCTCCCCAACTCACTGCTCGCCCAGTCCACCCGGGCCGCCGCCACGACGGCCCCCCGCAAGTAGGCATCCCGCACTGCACCGACAGCCGCGGGCGACCAGCTGACCGGCCAGCTGACCGGCCAGCAGCCGGCGGGCGGCAAGCCGCGGATGGCCGACCCGCCGGCGCGGCGAGGGAGGGGAGGGACGCAGCTGAAAGACCCGACTACATATATATCAAAGAAACATTATATGTAATCATCGATGACGCGACATAAATCTGCTTTATTGGG